CAGACTTCTGCTCATTGATCCCCCTTTGCATCTCTTCCACTTTACAGTCAACCCCATATTCCAGAGGGAATGATTACAGCTTTGTACAATTTATATGCCAACATGGCATATAGCCTGCTTTGCTGCGAGGTTTTCTGTGTGCATACAAAATCCCAGTGAAATCTGAAAAGGATCATTTGTTTCACATGCATACAGCTGGTTGTCAACAGCTCCTAAGTAGTGAGGAAGCTTGGACTTGTTTATCCACTTCTACAATAAACCTAGAACACTGCCATCTTATTTACTGTGTAGACTTCAGTGATGCCCTCATTTTGAAACTCTGTTAATTGCTCCCCTATTCCATGTCAGAGTAATACCCAGTATTAAACATAATAAAATTAATTTGAGGACAATTAGCTTCATCAAAAATATATTAAAATAATGGAAAATTGCAACCATTTTTGCTTCCACTTCAACAACTAAATGGATTCCCAGCAAATAAATATTATAAAATTACACCCAAAGTACTTTATAGCATTTATGCATTCCTTTGTAGGCAGTTATTAGGGTCTTCTAGTTTTAGAATGTAATTTCTCTGTTGTCTGTTTGTGTTTTCAGTTGAGAGCTGCTTAAAATATTTAATTTTATTTAGGTCTGATTTGGTAACTTATTTAGATGAGCCTAATCCTTGGGGAAACATTTTTATTTCAGTGTTAGGCAATAGTTGTTAATGTTTATTCATGAAGGGTACATTACTCAAATAACCTTAGACAAAAATTAAGATGTGTTAGCAAAATTTTGCCACTTGGATGTGGCAATCCCAAGTCATCCTTTTCTAGAATCTTTCAACTAAATTTATAAACAGAAATGTTCTGTTTAGGGAGTAGTTTGCTCTTTATTTATTTGTCTTTTTCTACCTGTTTCAGCTTGGAGAAAACAAGAGTTGGAATGGCCAGAATGTTGGGTTTTCTGAGCCAACGAATAACAGTAAGTATTGCTTTCTGAATTTGTATTTATACTTACTTCTCTTGCTCTCTGTAGGATTTGGAGTATTTGAGACAATTGAAATGCTTTTTCTAAATATTTTAGGATTTTTATTGCAATTAGATGAATTAACTCCTGAGTGTCCTCTGTGTGAATGTAGGTATGAATGAGTGCAGGAACAAGGAGATTTTTATTTACTCATTGAATCATTGAATCCTTCTGTTTATAATGGATTTTAGGAGGTCATCTAAGCTGCCTGCTCAAAACGTAGTCAGTACAGAGTTCAGACAAGGTTGCTCATGTCTTTTTAGTAGTTCTCCAGGGACAGAGATTCCATAGCTTCTCTGGGCTGCCTGTTCTAATGCTTAACTATATTCACACTGAATTTTTAAATTTTTTTTCTTTTCAGAACATCTCTTTTTGGTTTATGACTATCATCTCCTGTTCTTCTGCTATATATCTCAGTATATATGCCTGGCTCCATCTTTTTGACAATCTCTTCTTAGGTATTGGAAGGCTGCTATTAGGTCTCTCAAAGCATACCACCATCCAAACAGATTTCCATCATCTAGTAATTTATTTACCCAGACTTTAACATCACAGCTTGGGGACAAGTATGCTGTGGGAGATATATTGTCAACAGTCTTGCTAAAGCCAGGGTAAATCACATCCAATGCTCTTCCTTCCTTCATAAATCCAGTCATTTTATCATAAAAGGCAGTCACATTGTGTGACCACAAGTGGCTTTAAGAGGACTATATGATTTTCCCAGGACTAGAGTGCAGCTGACCAGCCTGCCTGTTTTGATGATGATGCCTTTCTCCAGGCATCTGCATGACTTTTTAAAGACAACAGAGAGTGGCCTCACAATGATATAAGCTGGTTGACTCAGCATGCTAAGGTATATCCCATTTGGTCCAATGGATGCACAGAAGTTCCACCTGAATGAGAGGAAGAACTTCTTTACTGTACAGGTGACCAAGCACTGGAGCAGATTGCCCAGAGAGGTTGTGGAGTCTTCTTCACTGAAGATATACATGAACTATCTGGACACAATCCTGTGCCACGTGCTCTGGGATGACCTTACTTGAGCAGGGAGGTTGGACCAGATGACCCACTGTGGTTCCTTCCAGCCTTACCCATTCTGGGATTCTGGGATTCTGTGATTCTGTGACTTACATGGGCTGAGCTCTGTCTTTTCTCAAGGCATTCCTGACTCTGATCAGGTTCTACTACTGGTAGTTTCTCTCTTCCTTGAGAGAAGGAAGAGACACAAAGGCCCAAGAAACCTTGTTGGTGAAGACTGAAATGGGTTTCACTGCAAGAGGTAAAGAATAGGATAGAACTTGGTAACTTTATAGCTAGATTTTTACCTTTAAAGTGGTATAGATAATATAAATAGTACTTCCTTCACTTTTTCATGAGCCCTGGATTTTTCTCTAGGACTGTGTATAGTTTTGAACTTCAGAGTCCCAAACATTATCTCCCTCAGCTAAGGATTGTACTAGAGATGGATACACACATGAGCTACCTTCTATTTTTTGCCTATGTACATCTGAAAGACATGGTCCTAAACGTAGGTTTTAAGGTATTTCAGTATATATGTGGTCTTCCTAGTCACAAGACCGGAGGAATTATGTGTGCCTCAACTTACACAACAGTTTGCTAATATTTAAAGTGATCTTGGATTCACCACATACCATTGCGTTTCCCTGAAAGGAAGTATTCTACAGGATCTAAGACTTCTTATTAATTGCTTCCTTACAGCTCTTTCATCAACCTGTATCCATACTTGTAGATGACTTCTGTTTGTCTTGTCAAAATCTCTAAGTCAAGGCCTGTGAAATATCTTTAAATGTTAATATCTTCAAATGTTAACATATTAGAGTTTAAGACAGCAGAATAAGATCTCTAACTTTTCTCTTCTATACTTGCAGTGTCTTGTAGCAAAGATATTTATAGATGACACCACAATCATCTGCTACACGAAAGAGAAAAAACAATCCCTTTCTCAGGCTTCATCTGACAAGACAACTTTGACAGTTATACGCGTAAATCCAAATCTAGAAGGAGAACACAAAGGCAAACTCATTCAACAGGAGCCAAGATCAACAAAATTATGTTTTAAACCTGTGCTGACCAACTAACTTATTTTTCAGAGATTGGCATGCTCACAGAACTTTTTGCAGCCACCACAGGCCGCAGTACAGAAAGAGGTTTTCATTCTGGGATGCTTTTATAATGCACAATACCTGCATTTCCATTCTTCTGATCTAAAAGTAAATTGGAATTCAAAGGAGTTGTAGCTAGCATGTCAGTAAATGTAGAGCATTTATTTCTAACGGTTCTGTTCAGAAACCACTGTGCTTAATCTCTTAACCCCTTTCTTGAGAGTTCTAATCTAGAGGCAACATTAATAATAATCAGGTGATTAAAGTGTATCATAGAGTCATAGAATGGTAAGGGGTTGGAATGGACCTTAAAGATCAGGGGTTACCTCCCACTAGACCAGGTTGCTCAAGGCCTTATCCAACCTGGTTTTGAATACTGTCAGGGTTGGAGCATCCACAACCTTCCTGGGCAACCTGTTCCAGTGTCTCACTACCCTCACAGTAAAGAATTTCTTCCTGATATCTAACCGATATTTCCCCTCTTTCAATTTGTACCCATGTACCAATTTGTACCTCTTCAGTTCCTGACGAAGAGTCCCTCTCCAGCTTCCCTATAGGCCCCCTTCAGATACTGGAAGGTTGCTATGAGGTCTCCAAGCAACCTTTTCTTCCCCAGACTGAACAGCCCCAACTTTCTCAGCCTGTCTTCATAGGGGAGGTGCTCCAGTCCTCTTACTAGCTTCACGGCCCTCCTCTGGACTTGCTCCAGAAGTTCCATGTCCTTCTTGTGTTGGGGACCCCAGAGCTTGATGCAGTAGTCCAGATGGGATCTCATAAGAGCAGAGTAGAGGGGTAGAACCACTCCCTTGGCCCACTGGCCATGCTGGTTTTGATGAAGCCCAGGACACAGTTGGCTTTCTGGGCTGCGAGCACACACTGCCAACTTGTGTCGAGTTTTTCATCAACCATCACCTCAAGTCTTTCTCCACAGGGCTGTTCTCAACCAGTTCTCTGCCCAACCTGTAGGTGTGCCTGGGATCACCATGACCCAGGTGCAGGACCTTGCACTTTACTGTGTTGAACTTAATGATGTTTGCATGGATCCACATCTCAAGTCTGTCAAGGTCCCTCTGGATGGCATCCCTTCCCTCCAGCGTGTCACACAGCTCAGTGTCGTCAGCAAATTTGCTGAGGGTGCGCTTGATCCCACTGTCCATGTCACCAACAAAGATGTTGAATAGATTTTTTCAGTATCATTTATTATTTCAATGAGACTGTACTATCTTCTTGCAAAATAGGAGCAGTTTGAACCCGAAGTGTTGTCAATAGGGATATACTTTTTTTTCACTGATTTTTTTAACTCTTCACCTCCTGAGAGGCCTTTCTCTTCTAGGGTATTTTCTTTAAAATTTACAGCTTAACTGTCGCAAATATACAGAATATTTTTCTATCTTTTTTAGTTAACCAGTAAGTTCAGTTGATACCTTCCTACAGAATGGCTCTATGAAGAGACCTGTTTTTCAGGATGTGACTGAGGTCAGAGGATTCCTGCATTTGGAGAAGACCTATGCAGTACTACTTGACATTTCTCACTAGTTTTCCAGACATGTTTACTTATATAAATGGTGCTAATGTTTTGTATGGGAATGGTCTGCCAGTACATGTTTACATATGAACACTTTGCCTTCTCTGCTTCTAGTAGAGTATTATGTGTTAGTTTCCCAAATAGGGAATACATAAAAAATCCTGAAGAAGAGCTAGTATTAAGAGTTTTCCCTGTGCACACCCACTGATCTTCCCCTAAGCCCCTGAGACCAAGATAACTTCAGAGCTTTGTGGTCGAGGAGAACTGAGGAAAGTAGAAGTGTCTTCTCATTTTGAATAAAAGAAATCACTTACATGCATAATCTCTCCTGCACCTGTGATGTGCAGGGTTTAAGGCAGTTCCAAACAAGTTCCACGCTTTTGCAGACAGATTCCCTTTCTTTGTACGCATAATGCACTGTTTTCCTCTGAATCAAATAAAACTGGAATAGTAAAGGGAAGTTGTATACTTTAGTACAACAAAATCAAAAATCATAACAGTTCTGCATTTTAGTACAGTTGAAGAACAGATTTCATTGCACTGTTATTATATAGTTTGTTTTTGCTGAGAAATAACCCTACAGTCTGTATCCTCCTAATTACTCACTCAATATATATTTAGTATTCCCTATTAAATATTCTTGAAAATTAACTTCTCCTGCTCCCCTCTATCATGTTACTTTTGCAGTTATCCTTGTGGCAAACCTCACTTCTGTCCCTCCTACTCACCGGCAAAGCTTCTTCCCACAGGTTCACTTCTTTACCTTTCCTCTTCATTTCACAATTTTAAAGAAAGATGAAACATGAATCTATTTGTTCCTTGTTTTGGGATATCTTAGACATTTTCTACATGTGAAATGGCAAGAATGTTCACTGAGTTTTTTTTCTGATGCTTCTGGAAGAGACTTTGAGAGACTATGAGCAGACCAGAAGCATTTTTAGCCCATACAGAAGATGTTTACTGTAAACAGAATGCTCATTTATCTCTCTGGATTTGACTTAAGCAGTTATCAACAAAAACAAAACATGAAACAAATAAACAATCCTAATGCAAAGTGCATTTTCATGGGAACATATTTTCATTTTATGTTTCTGGATGGGGTAATCACACACATCCTATGGTATGTGTTCTAGAGAAGCTGTAGATGAGCTATGAAGAACAATATAAAAATAAAAGTAAAAAATAATAGTGCTTTTTAATATCATATTTATAACAAGGAAAAAAAAATTACCATAACTGTTTTTATATGTTTCCTACCCTTGATTTTTTATAGTATAGTTTTTCCCTTACCTATTTCCAACAATTTTGGGAGTCACAAAGTAAGTACTGAAAAACTGTTAATTAAAAAGAATGCATTCAGGCCAATCCTACCTCTCTGTGCAGGACAGACTCTTTGTTTTTCTTGCCTAACATTTTATTACTAGGGATTCGTGCATGACTTTAGTCTTTGTTCTTCAGAGTGCATCTGCTCCTGCTGTTACTTCACCACCTGAAATCATAGCCATTTGTTTGTGACATCAAAATTAGTTACTGTGAAGATGATTAGATTGTCACCAACAGATGATTATGATTTCAGATGGTAAATGAACAGCAGGAGCAGATGATCTCCTAAGGAACAAAGATACTTGATCTCATACAATTGTTCTTAGTGACAAAAAAATAAAAAAAAATTAAAAAGGAGATAAAAAAGCAAATAGATATTCTGAAGAGTTTCTTAAGTTTGTGATGAGAAAAATTGAGATTTTTCTGTAAATCAAATCTATTTTAGTATTTTTAAAAATCTACTTCAATAATAGATCAAGGATATAAGAAATATAAAAAATACAAAAATATGTGGTGGTATTGTAAGCCCTAATTGTATGGTAGCATTCAGATTCTTACTCAGTTGTTTCTTCACTAGCTTTTGGGAGAAAATAAACAGAATATAAATCATGTATTTATGAAATTTTACATACTAATGCATCTTCGTTTTGAAGGAAACAGAATTCGTGTGAACTTTGTAGTTCTAGCTCTCACTAGTTTTATAAAGACATTTTTATAGTCCTCTATATGTTTATTTTTCAACTGGGGATTTTGGTGAAAACTTCCAGTAGATAATTTAATACTCCCATATTTCCATGAATAGTAATGGAAATCTACAGTTTGGGAATAAAGTTTTAGTTTTGTAATTCAGACATTTTTAATTGGAATTTATGTGTGTTATATCTTGCTGAAATATGTAATTCTTTTGGGTATATTTCAGAGGTGATTTGCAGTGGATCATATGCATTTTTACTCTCTGAGTACTACTGTTGCATTGAACTTGGCTTTTGAATTGCTTCCAAGCTTACTAAACATTGTCAATTATAATGCATTCTTGCTAGGAGGTAGACTGATACATCACTAAACATTTGCTGAATTATTTGGCATTCTGAATAGAAACCACAGTAAAAGGTATTGACAACACCACTTATTTGATGAAACACAGGGCACAGAACGGTAGTTTTCCATCTGTTGATTTTGGTGGTTTTTGTTCTGTTTTGGGAGGGTTTTTTTAGCAAACAGTCAGGTGAACATTATACCATCACTGGGGCAATTTCATCAGCTGAACCACTTGTCTGCACTCTGTCTGTCTCACAACCTTATCTAGAGTCTCTTACCACAGCTGGTTATGTTTGAAAAATACCTTGCCTTTGTAACTCCTGAGTTGATGTGCTAATTTTCTAATTAAATTTTCTTTCTAACTGAAGGGAAAATTAAATTTAGAAACAAAGGAGATTTCTCCAATTTTGTTTCTTCCCTGAATTACTGAAGCTGGGAAATCCATGTTGTATTTGCCGTTATTAATAATTGATTTATTATTTTTCAGTTTCATCTAATGATGAGAATAATTTTATCCAGCATAAAACCAATTAAATGCAACTTGCATGTATTTTTGGAAATAGTTGAAAAAACTTCTAAACCACCTAATATTAAAAACCACCTCATATTAACAAAATGGGGAATGTGGGGTTTTTTACTTCCTGTTTTTAGAACTACTGATGAGCCAAGTTAGCGTTTTTGTGTGTGAATGGGATTTGAGCACAACTCTGGAGTGTAAGATGACAACTGCAGTGGTCCTCTTCCTTTTCCCATGTTTTCCCTTTTGAGATGCTCAGTTAGGTGTTTGAAGTCCTGCAAGTTTTGCATCTTCAGAGGTTCTTTCTTTACTGAGTTTAGAGTTCAGTGTGTATTTATAAAGTGCCTAGTGTTTTAAGCATATGGCCAGAACATTGGGAGACTTAGATTTATCTGTTTCCTTCTATTTAGGAGAAGGAGAGTACTTAGGGGGTGCAGGGTAATCGGGATAATGGCAGCCACCTTTGGGAGATGTGTATTTAATATGATTTGCAGACAAAAAAAGGAAAAATCAGATGCTGTTAAAATGCAAGAAATCCACAGGGAAGGACCGATCTAAAGGAATCTGTAGTTTGTCTGTTGATTAAAGCTCTTGTGAATGAAGATGCAGATGTGTATTCTGGTGTTCTCTGTCTAGTTTACAGATATTGTGCATATTTTAGATACAGATTAAAGTGTTGCAAACAACCTACTGCCTGGTTCTTGAGTAGTATAGATTTTGCCTATGTAGGGAACATACTCTTGGGCTGGGAGGCTTGTGATTTGGATGCCCACAGGCTGAGAAGGAACTTGAGTCAGCTTTCTAGGAGACTGCTTAACCATTAAACTTTTGATGTATAAAATGTATAAAGAGGGAACAACCACCATGACTGTAGATAGCCAGCTCTGTGGGTAGAGATGATTTCAGATGATTTCTTTTTGTTTTCCCAGTCCCCTAAAATTCCAATATGAATTACATTTATTCAACGTTTCTAGCCTATTCCTTTGAAAAAATATGCATGTGAAGTAGAAATGCAGAGCTCATTTTTGATGTTAACTCTCAAATTCAAATTTAATTATGTAGTTCTGCAAATTATCTGCATTTGGTTTTCTGTCTTCAGCTGATCAAATCGAGCTGGATCACATAATTCCCCTGAATACAGTGTTGCTCTAAATACTTTCACTTTTCTAAAGTCTTTTCTCTTTTGCCTGTACCCTTCCTCCCAGTCTGGAACCCACCATGTACCTCACCCTTAGTCTGGGATAATGATGTCCTTGAAAAATTGAATTGCCTGAACTGAGACTTTATTGCTGTCAGAACCAAGACTTAATTCTCCACTCTCTCCTCCATCCCCTTTCCTTTACATCAAACGTCTTGTCCCTATGACTTCCACTCCCCCACCGCTTTCTCCTCCTCTGATTTCATCTTCACTCATACCTATGCTGTGCTTGTTGATGGCCCCCTTGACCTTGTTAGCTTCAGCAACCTCTCTCTCCTTGTCTAGTAGACTTGCTCATTCTTTCATCTCTTCTTCGTGTGGGTCATGCCTTTGTTTTCATCATCATCACCATTCTCATTCCCCTCCTAATTGGTTAATGAATAGTAGTCTTGCCTGCACAGGTCACCTGCAGTTGCACTTAGGCACTCTCCTAATTGCTTTATCCCCACAAACATCACTTTCTTGCAGCTTTTACAAGCAGCTTGATCTGCCAGCTCATTAATTTGATTTGCCCCTGCTCCAAATTTGCTGATCCTCTTTACTGATAAGAATAACTGTCCCTCCTTCTGCATTTAGACTGGTTCTTTTCTGAACCTGCTTCGTCTTAGTCTTTGGTTAAGTGGTACACTGACATATTGTTGGAAAAATGTGATGCAGAAATTACCACATGAAACTTACAGTGTAGATGTTTCATCTGTCTTGAAATATTTCATAGAATATCCTGTGGAAATCACCCACTGCAAACACTAGGTTTTACTTTTACCAAAATCTTATGTTTCCAAGCAGGAGTAAAACTATGGGAGAATTCAAAAGACTTTCCTCACAAGAATTAAATGCCAAATGTTGCAGAAATTTATACAATTCAAGTCTTCTTCAATAATGCAATTTCTATTTTGGCTGTACAGAAAATAGTCCAGTGAAATTAAAGATATCACAACCTGACTTCATGGAGAACTAAATAGTATTTACTTCAGTGTCATGGTTATTTTAAGGTTAAATAAACTAGTATTTTAATGAGTGGCTTTATATAACATTGGTTTGTTTAGGGTCATGTAGAAAAGATCTTTTGATTGAATGACATTGTGTAATGACAAAACATTTTTTCATGTCTGAATATTGGAGTAGCTGGTGACTTAGAAATACCACGGATAGCTATGTTAAGTAGGTAATGATTGCATCTGGTATTTCAAGCCAAGATTGTGTGTAGACAATTGCTGAGAACGTAATGGCCATACTATTTGCCTCTTCAATTGTTTGACTGACCTTTTCTGAGTTCCTACTGAGGTAATAAAATTTGAAAATATTCTAGTATATAAATAGGCTTTTACAGTGAGTGAGTATAAAACGATAATATCTTTTTATTATAATATTTACATTTTTCAGTCCTGTTATTGAAGTAGTTACTTGGTTTTGTAAATTCTCTCTTTTGCTGTCAGTGGATTTGTAATGGGCCATATTCTAGGGCGTGTTGAGAACCTGCCAGTTCTAGGGAATAATTATTGCATGTGAGTGTCCTCCATGCCTCTTAAGTTCTTGTCCATTTTAACTTACAAAATTGTGAAGTCAGGATGAGATCTGGTTCTAAGCTTTCCTTCTTATTGCCTTACTACAAGATTTTACCCTGTAATTTAAGTAGCACATTATAAGAAGGCTTTATTCAATGTGAATACAGGTAGCATAATCTGAAAGAGCTTTTTGATGATTTTCCATTGAATATTTTATTGAGTTCCAAAAATACTGATTATTTCTTTATGAACAGTCTTTCCTTCATCCAGTGAAGGGTTATTTTAAATACTGGGGTGCTACACTTAATTTATTGAGTGTGTCACATACAGAATTATATCATGGTTTACTCTGCCTCATTACACACGACATGAAAGCACTCCTTCATGCTGATGTGCCATGTCACTCAGTGTAGTGCAGGGAAGAACATGTGCTCTTCAGCAGTGTCGAGGGAGGTCATATACCAGCTGACACTGCTTCTGACGCATGAACAACTATACCTTTCCTATAGGATAAGCAAGAGCCTAGGGAGAAAGTTGTGGTTTAGACCGTGTATACCGAATGTTCATAAACATGAAAAGTCAATGAGTGACCTTGAACCAGGGGAAGTTATTGAGCGAAGGCAGAAGAAATGTATCCCCGTGATACTTGGTCAAGTAGAAAAGAGAAAATTAATGCAGACATATATATATCTGTATGTGCAGATTGACAACACAAGCCTGATTCTATAGGCCATCTTGTGGAGCTGAATGATAGAACTGAAATCTCAACTCCTGATGTTTTCTGGTCTTCCTGACAGAAGCAGAAATTTAGAAATGAGTCACCAGTGGTACCCGTGTAGACACTAATACCTGTGAGCATGCAGGGCACACTGTCATCACTCTGAACTTTTCTTAATCTAGTAGCCCACCATGGTGGGGTAACTTGTCACTGTCCCCGTATCAGTAAACTCCATTTTTTTGCAGTCTTATTACACTGAGGCTCATTTGGTAATATTGTCAGTTGTTCTCCTTCCTCACCCCATTCCCCATGCAGAAAGTTCCTCTGATGGTTAGTTTTGTTTTCCATGAATTCCAGACAGTGGAGGACCCTTTTGTAGAAAGGTCCCCCTGTTTTCCCAGCCAAGGGGACACTACAGAGAAAGGATAAGCGATAAAAATAACACCACTCAAACAGAACTTTTGAAGACCACCTCTGCTATGGCTGCTATGAAAAAAGGTGTAAAGCACTGAGATTACATTTCCAGGGGAAGGCTTATGAAAGATAGTTGAGCCATTTTGTATGTTAATCATACATTTGCTTTGGAGTCTAAACTGTTTTGCAGTTATCTGGTACTGTCAGCAAAAGTAGACAGTGGAAGATGAAGAAATTTGTTCTTAGGTAAGAGAGGTCTTTGATGTGTTTTCATAGACTTCAGAAGATTGTGAGAGACTGCTAACAATTACCGCCAACAATGAATAGGACATGCTTTTCAAATGTTAGTAATTACGTTGCATAGCTAGCCTGTGTATTTTTGTAGCACATTTGCCCACAGGTTTAAATAATATAAATGGAAATTGTTTTAACATGTTTCATGAATCTACCTCTAAATTAATGTCCAGCAGAAGGTACAATGTTGTTGGTCTATTACAGATCCTGTGACTCCTAGTAATTACAATTCTACCTTTGGAATATGGTGAAGTTAGTTTGGGATAAATATTTAGTGGGCAGAAAAGTCCAATTTTTATTTTTTTTTGCTGAAAACTGACAAGAGGATGAAAACACTCACCTGGAGATGTCCTCCTGCCATGCATAAAGGTGTTAGAGGATAGTATTTCTTTCTCCCATGTTTTTTAATCAACTGATTGTTAGAAGACTCATGGAGATAATTTCTGAAGAGTTCTTTTGTTCTTGCACTTAATCCTCTATTGTTGTTGTACTCCTTGTCATGTTATAACTTTATTACTGCAACTAAATATATTTATACACTCTCCTACAATACAGTTGAGTTCCTACAATACAATTGAGTTGAAGTAAGCACGCAACAGTGAGAAATAATAGTTAAAAAATCCTCAGTAATATATTAAAAATAGAAAATTAATTACAATTAATATTTTTTGATAGAAGTTTTCGAAGAGACCAAGTTTTTATTGGCTTTTTAAAACAAGTTTGTAAGAAGCTTCATGAAACATAGGCCCTGAATATAAAAAGTTAATATCTTGCAACTATATTAATGTAATGTCTAGAATATTACATTACTTTGTTTCCAGAGATAATCAATGATGTTAATATAATATCTGCCTCTCAGAGCCAATGTATGATTTGAATTCATTATTGCTTATAAAGCACTTTGAAGTCTTTAGCAGTAAGGTGTTGCAAAGTGTAAAAGTACTATTATTAATTTAACATCACCATTAAAGTCAGTACTTTAGGAGCATTTGCTGTACTCGGCTCAATATCTTTTTATTCATCATATGCTGCATATTAGTTATTTTAACATTTAGAAAGCTTAGTAATCTGGAAGTATTCCAAACCATTGTTCCAGACAGCAGTTAGATATTTGGGTGGATCATGTAAAAACAGTGAAATGGCTGAGAAAGCATGTAAAATGTTTGTTTTAAGTAATATTACATCAATGGAACAGACATCTGCAGCACTGGATTTGATTTTAAACTTCTTTAAACTTTTTTGAAGTTAATATTGTACTATGTTTTTCTAAAATTGATTGGGGGGGCTAATATCATGTTATTTCTAAACAAGTAGACTTTTATCTTTTGTTCAGTTTTCATTTCTGTTTCTGAAATATTTGTGGGAAATCAGATTTACAGTGGGCAGTTCTTAGGAGGTGGTGAACATCTGCCACTCTATTATTGTTGCTGTTTGGTTTTGTAAGCTAACATCAGATATCAAGATCTGTATTATCTATTTTTTTATTTTCACTAATGTCATATCTTGTATAAGACTATTTAAAAATATGAGCAGTGGTGGGCCTTGGAGGCTATAGCATCAGAAAAGAGTATAAAATCTGTCTTATCATATAATGATTATGTGCCATAAAATAATACTGTGTATTTATACAGTTGTTTATCTATAATATTATATTCTAAATTGTCCCAGATGGAGAAAAAGAAATTTTAGGGATCCTGTCCTACGTATTTCTGAGTACAATTGTCTTGAATTTGTGTTTAGCTCTAGAGTTCAGCTCTGGAGTTCAGTGTACTGGCTTTGGAGCCAGTTCTAAACTGGGTAAAACACTCTTAGAGTTCAGGGTCCAACCAAGCTCCCCAGCCCTACAGAGGTAGGTGGGGAGAGCAATCAGGTGAATAACAGATATGTCTTTGTGAATGGTATAAGCAGATGTTCCAGATTTCTGAAAGCAATATGAATTTAAAAGCCAAATGTGCAAGTAAATCAATTAAAAGATTCACCTGTAAGCAGTTTGCTGAGTCGGCAGTGAGGAACTTCCATTTTCACCATATAGTTGAAAATGAGGACATTAATTACAGGTAATGTTTTCTGAGTCTTCTCCTTGTGGTAGACATTTTATTTAAAAGTACTACTTGCCCTACTAGTATTAGAGGAATCCTTTCTAGGTACTGGAAATTAATTTCCTTCTCTTCTTTGAATTTATTCTACGTTCTGAAATTAATTTAATATGTGCTGCAAGTGAATTAACCATTGAACCCTTTGATTTCTCTTGGGATTACTAAATCAGGTAACAAACAGGTTTATTATCCCTAGAATGAAATGCCATATGGCTCAGGTTCACTCATGTTATTTTCAGATATATGCTAGAAGATTAAAGTATGTTCTTAATAAGAAATTACACATTTCAAGCTCATTTTATGATGTATTAATAATAAGAAAAAAGTCTTCCTCTTGTATCAGCTAATTGGTTAGTTGTGTTTCCAACAAATGCTTCATTGTATAAGAAAACTAGCAAACTTCATACTTAATTCTGCACATTTCCAGACACAGGAATATCAGCAAAACTGATCAAGTATGTACTCATGTTTCCAAACAAGTTTAGGTTGACATATTTTCTAAAAATGTATTAAAATTTTGAAATGTAGACACATTGTTCCTAATTTACATATCTGAAAATATTTAAAAATAATTCATATAAATAAATTTATGTATTTTTAATGTTCATTGTAACTCCTGTTGATATTAATGATGGCACATATATGCTTTTCTTTTTCAGTTTAAACATTCTCAAAGGCAAGGAGCTATTTGCAAACTATAGGATGCCGTATATAGAGCTAAATAAATAAATAAATAAATTCCTCTTCACTGCAGAGCAGTCAGTCACATCAGTCATTAGCACAGTAACAATGTGGTTGCAGGGCAACTTAAAGGTTTTTAACCACAGGCTGCCCTAGTAATTCAGCAAACACTTTAAGCCAGCACATCAGGCGGAGCTGCTACTGCAAGAAACCACCCTGCCCTTCTGCCTCCAACAGCTCATTCTCATGAACATCCCTACATGGTCCTACAGGTGCTGGTGCTGGCATAAGCAACAGAGCAGCGGGAGAATACAAACAGCAGCTGTTGGTGGGAGAGAAAACTAAAACTACTTCTGGTGGCAATGGTGCTTATACAGACTAGTTTCAATTATTTGTGAAAAAAACAGCTTAAATTACTTTATCAGAAAGGAGGTAGAAAAATGTAGGGTAAATAGTGATTGTGCTACTATTTTGAAGTAGGATCTATTCCTCATGGTTTGTAGGTCTCAAAACATTGTTCAGGTTGTGTATTCTGTGCTAGCCACAGTGTTAAAATACAGATTTAAACTTTTTAAAAAAGAGTTGGGGAAGAGGAAAAAGAGGGGCGCTTCAGATCTGCTTTGTTTCTAAATAAGTTATGCCATTTCATTTACAGTTACTGGAAAAAGAAAGGTATTGCTTCTAAATTCTTACTTTGTTTTTCACTGTAAAATGTATTAATGAAAATTATATATGTGTCAAACCCATTTTAGAGTAATAAGAATGATCTTTGGTTTTATTTTCAGCACCAAAGGGAATACTCCATCTCTCTCCTGATGTTTATCAAGAGATGGAAGCAAGCCGCAACAAATCAGCCCCTGGTACCACTGTAAGCTATTTGTCGTCCAAAGAAATGAGCCAGACTTCCAGCTCTTTCTTCAGCATATCTCCTACAACAAATAGCACGGCTACGATTGCCAGGGAACTTCTCATGAATGGAACGTCCCCAACTGCTGAAGCCATAGGTCTAAAAGGAGTATCTCCCGCTTCCCCCTGTTCTACAGTGCAGCCTTCAAAACAACTGGAGTATTTGGCAAGGATTCAAGGCTTTCAGGTATGGGAGGGGGAAAATGAAGCTCTTCAGCCAGAATCGTAGCATTGCCATCAAGGTTTCACTCTTGCCCTCTTGAATGTGGGCATGCATGTAACTTATCTTGTAAAATTAGATGGTGTCCGAGGCAGTTTCTGGGTCCGGGAGATACAACTCTGCACCAATATACGCATCCCTCCTTCTCTTTTTTGTTCCTTCCGTACATTCATCTTTCTCTTCTTTGTCTTCTCTTCAAATAATTACAAGCTTAAATTATGCCTTTTACTTGCACTTCTTTGAGAGTCTTCACCTCTTCAAATTAGAAGCTTTACATACTGCTTTGGCATTGGTTTCTCCCTTCGACTCTGATCCAGAAGGTACCAATGAACCACCTTACCTTTGTGTTTGTTGTCTAGGCTGGGTTATTAATTTCTTTGCTTACCACCCTGCACTTCTTATTAGTAACTTGATGTTGTGGTTTAGGAATGGTACTTACCAGTTTAGTGCTCCCATTGAGACTCTCCAAACCATGAGCTGCTTGCTCGCTCCCCCTCCCTTGTGATGGACTGGAGAGGAGAATTAGAGGCACAAAAGGTAAAGATCACAGATTGAGATATGAACAATTTACTGGAAACAGCAATGAAATAAGAAAACTAACTGTAACAGCAACAGTGCTAATGACAGAGGGTGTAAGAAATGAAGGATTCACACGGAAAGCCCTCGACAACAGACAATATCCAACCTCTCCCTCTGCCATGCTACTGGAAGGGACCCTGTTCTCCCTGGAAGAGAATTGCTTCTCCTCACCCCTGGCAATGATATGAGGTGGTGTAGAATAACTTCTGGGTCCTAGCATGCCCCCATCTAAGTACTGCAAAAATTAACAGTCTCCTGGCTGGAACCAGGGCATTATTCACCCTATGACATGCCCAAATCCTACACCTTCCAACTATATACATATAGATAGATAGATAGATAGACAGATAGATAGATAGACAGACAGACACATATACACAAGCACAGGTATTCTTTCCAGAGTCAATGGCTGTCCCTCCAAGATGTCTGTTGAGTTCATTTAGTCCATGACTGTGGATTCCATCCATCTTAGATGTCTCCCAGGGCAGGAGGGCTGGTATGCTCTTGGCTGATTGCAAGCTGCATCAGGAGCTCACAACTGGTGTATCTGGAGCAGTCCATCCTCATTGTCCATGGTAATTATGGCATACAGAGGCAGTGTCATTCAGCAACCAGTACTACACAGTTCAACATTACAGACTGTTCTCACCCAGAAATCAAATTCCCTTGAGGTACACATCATGTTTCCTCGTCCCTCTGCGTTACCCACCAAGTGCACCCAGATCCTTGAGCAAAAACAACCCCACGGATACATTTGCCTTTGCTTGAGACAGGACTAATCCAAACTATCTTCTCTAATGCATTCCTCATATGCACCATGGAGAGTTTATCCCCTTCTACAGTACATGGAGGTTTTTATTGGGCAGGGCCAGCTTGATGGGTAGAGCCTCTATTGTTAACTAAGCAAGTGGCCTTTGTTAAATGTGTATCCCAATGTTTGAAGGTCCCACTGCCCATTGCTTTCAATGAGGTTTTTAACAGTCCCTTGTACCATTCAGCTTTCCCAGATGCTGATGCATGATAGGGAATATGGTATACCCACTCAGTGCCGTGCTCTCTGGCCCAGGTCTCTATAAGGCTAATTTTGAAATGAGTCCCATTGTCCAACTCAGTTCTCGCCAGGGCACCATGTTGCCGCAGAACTTGCTTTTCAAGGCCCAAATGGTGTTACAGACAGTGGCATAAGGCACAGGATGCGTCTCCAGCGATCCAGTGGTTGTTTCTACCATTGTGAGCCTGTAGAGCTGTAGTCTGTAGTCTGGATAACTTGGGTGATGGTGTCCGTGGTTAAGTCCACCCCTGGATTATGAGCCCATCTGTATGTCGCATCTCTTCCCTGATGACCTGAGGTGTCATGGGCCCACAAGCCTGAAATAACTCATCTTTATGTTGCCAGTCCATGTCTGCCTGAGACACTGTAGTCTTGGCAGCTCAATCCACTTGTCTGTTGTTATGATGCTCTTCAGTATCCTGACTCTTGGGTGCATGTGTATCTACATGATGGACTTTTACAGCCAACTTTTCTACACAGGCAGAGATGTCTTGCCGCACTTCAGGAGCCCAGATGGTTTTACCTCTGTGCTGCTGATTGGTCTTTTTCCATTGGTCCAGCCACCCCCACAGAGCATTTGCTACCATCCGCTAGTCAGTGTAGAGGTAGAGCACTGACCATTTCTCTCGTTCAGCGATATCTACAGCCAACTGGACAGCTGTCAGCTGTGCAACCTGACTTGATCCACCTTGTTCCTTCAATAGCTTCTGCAACTCGCTATGTAGGGCTCCATTTGGCAGCTTTCCATTTTTGATGTTACCCTACAATACAACAGGAACCATCAGTGAAGAGAGCATATCGCTTTTCAGTTTCTGGTAGCTGATTATATGATGAGACCTCCTCAGCATATGTCACCTTCTCCTCCTCTGATGATCATGATAGTCCCAAATTTTCACCTTCGGGGCAGTTCGTGATGACTTCCAAGATCCATGGGTGATTGGGGTTTCCTATTCGAGCTCATGTGACCCACTTACTCCACATAGCATGGGTGGCATGATGTGTGGAAAGGACTTTCCCTTTGAACGTCCAGCCCAGCACTGGCAGTCAGGGCACTAGGAGGGCTGTGCTTCACTGACAATCACTTCTGAAGCAGCTCAAACCCCTTCATAAGCTGCCAGTATCTCTTTTTCAGTTGGGGTGTAACAGGTCTTGGATCCTTTGTATTCTCACTCCAGAACCCCACGAGTCGCCCCTGGGTACTTTTTGCCAGAGACTCCAGGAAGGACCATTCTCCCTGGCTGCAGTTTAGAGTGCATTTTTCACATCTTGCCCATCCTGACTGGCCCAAGGGCTACTGCATGGGCAATCTCCTGTTTAATTTGTTCAAAAGCTTATTGTTCAGGACCCCACTTAAAATCATTCTTCTTCCATTTCACAATAGAGAGGGCTTACAATCTGACTGTACTCTGGATTATGCATCCTCCAAAAACCCTAGGCGCCTAGAAAAGCCTGTGTTTCTTTCTTGCTGGTTGGTGGGGACATAGCTGCTACTTTGTTGACCATGTCCATTGGATTCTGACAATGTCCATCTTGCTATTTTACTCCTTAAAACTTAATTTCCTGGGCAGGTCTCTTGACCTTACTTTACTTTATGGCAAAACCAACCTTCAGGAGAATTTGGATTATCTTCTCCCCCTTCTCAGAAATTTCCTCTGCTGTTTTGCCCCACATAGTGATGTCATCAATGTATTGCAAATGTTCTGGAGCCTTTTCCAGTGCAGGATCAGTCTACAGCAAATAGTGGAGCTGAGTTTCCCCCACTGGGGCAGTCAGTTCCAGGTGTACTGGACACGCCTCCAGGTGAAAGCAAATTGTGGCCTGCAGTCTGCTGCTAAGGGAATGGAGAAAACCACATTAGCGATATTGATGGTGGCACCACTTTACTCCAGTTTGTACTGAAGTTCCAGCATGCCTGGTACAGCAGCACTCAATGGTGATGTGACTTTGTTCAGGCCACAATAGACTGAGAGACTCTCAGTCTCCACTCCCCAGTGGACTTACTCACAGGCCATATAGGACTATTAAAGGGTGAGCAAGTCTTGCTGACCACTCCCAGGCTCTCCACTTCATGAATCATCTCACCAGTGGGGGTCACGGAGTCTCGGTTGGTGCGGTATTGCTGACAGTGCACCATTCCGGTGGCCATCAGTAACTATTCTTCAACCCTCAGCAGTCCCATAGCAGAAGGGTTCTTTGAGAGACCAGGCAAGGTATTCAGCTGATTTCCTCTGTCTCCACAGTAGCTATCCCAAGAGCCCAACAAAGCCCTTTTGGGTCCTTGAAATGGACCCTCTCCTGATGTAATCTGTGCCAAGGATGCACAGGGCCCCTAGGCCAGTGTTATGATCCAGTTATTAAAATTATTAGAAATGTCTTTGCCCAAATTAAGGTGCAGATGAGACTGTTTGCCAGAGTCAATAGTATGGATTTTATTTAAGAGAAAGAGAGAGAGACAGAAATAGAAAAAGGATGGGGGGGACAAGAAGGAGCGTGACAGAGAAGGATTAAAATAGAAAATGTATCACCACTCTGTGGACCCAGTGGCGTTCCGTTCTTCTGGTCTTCTTGGTGGTGAGGGTCCCACACAACATAGAGTCCAATGGATTAATATACATTCAGATGTCCAGGCACCACCCCTGGCAGGGAAAAGCTCTACAGTCTTTTGCGACAGGCTCTGGATTTGTTGCATCACTTGGATCACATGCAGTCCTCTTGTGGTGGAAGATGTCAGGAATGAGTCTGGGGTCTTTAATGGTTTATGACCCCTTCTCAGGTGCCTCTCATGTGAATGTCCTGTGTGTACATGGTCTTCCTGGGAGTGGTTGGAGATTACTCCTTTGGTTTGGTGTGGAGAGATTTCGCAATCACACACCCAAAACTCTTCTCCTCCACCACCTGATGAGCCTTGTTTACTTCTCCTCTGACCTGAGAAAATTAGGCAATAGTCTTATCTGAAGCTCCCATCACAGTCCAGATTCCGATCAGGAAGCATGTTTGGGAGGGGGGTGCTGTCGCAGACAGGCAGTTGCTTCCTCGCAGTTTGACAAAAAGTCTTTCTATGATTTTGACAGCGTTTAAGACATTAACAACAATTGAGTCCATCACAGCCAGTCACAATGGGGTGTTTTTGCCATTCATTCTCAGTCAGGCTCACTTTAGCTTCTAGTACAGTCAGTTGTTGTGTTCCCCTTGTCACCCCAGCAGATGGATTCTGCCCCTACATATCTTGACGGCATCAGGATACATTGTGTGCTGATGTCAGCTAAAGTCTTATACTCTTCTGGTTCTGATGTGCCAGGCCATTGGATCCACACACTCCAATAGATCTGATTGTCCCTTTCCTCCACCTGGCTGGAGGCAGGACCCCTCAAGTTCTGGTAATAGTACTCATTGCTCATTGTTAATATGAGCTGGAGGTCCGTTCAAGAGGATCGGAGGTAACATCAGGTCTCCTATTCTGATGATTTGCCCTCTGGAAACTGGAGTGGCATCTATCCTTGAAGAATTTCTTAGAGTGGTTGTTCTTCCTCTCAACTCATGTGTCCATGCTGCTATGGTAGAGGTGGGTTTTCCATCCAACTTCCTCATGTCCTCTCCATGGTCATGCAAGTAGAACCATTGGTTACCTGGTGGTGTGTACCCTCTTTCTCCCAAGCTTTCTATTGGAGCGCTTGCTCCCAATAGAAGAGAGTCTGGTCCACACTGGCGGGACATGGGACATTTCTTCTCTAATTTTCTTGAGTCTTTCGAATCTGTCTGCAGTCTTGGACAGTCTTTCTGCAGCTGAGGCTCAGGTTAGTAGGGAGGAAAAAGACAATCTTCATGTTGCCAGAGTCAGGTAGTCACCTGAAACACTGTTTGTTCTCCTTCTTTCATTGACATCAATGCCTGTGAGTTGGTGTACGATGATGGCATGCTCTGTACAAACGGGTTTTGTACACTGGACCTTATCTGGATCTACAGGGGACTGCTTGTTATTTGTATTCTTATAGATTATCTCCAGCACAGCTAATTCTCTCACGTACTGGATACCTTTCTCCATGGTGTTCCACCTGCTTAGGTGCACTACTAGATCATCCTTGAGAGACTAATTTTCCCTAATTGTGAAGTAAGATAACACACAAGTACCCCTGAAATGCCAAGCAGTGGAAGGAGTTCAGGAAAATTTATTCCAAAGTCGAGAACACTAGACTTACAAGGGAAAAACTTCTAGCAGTGGTGCAAAAAGCACTGCCTCAGAAAGACACTCCTCCTGTTCTCTTCAAGGCTTTTTATCTTCACTGGCCTCCCTCCCCAGGTCCTCTCCTATGCACAGACCTGTAGCATCTGTTTATCTCTCCTCATAACAGAGAAAGAGCCTGCAAGCTTCCTGTGGTTCTGCTGCAGTTTGGGTGGCCACAGTGCCTGTTGGTCTGCTTTCCTTCTCTTCCCCATGAGGCTGCTGTCTAGTATTGAACTGTGTCCTGTGAAGAGTAGCCAGGGCTCAATACATTTCAATAACTTGCTCCTCTCTGGAGTTGCCACAGCATTCTCCTTGCAAGTAATCTGTCACTTTATCAAGGTCTTGTAGTTGTTCAGGAGTGAACTTCCATGCCATTGGAGCAGATAATTTCCCCCAGAATTGGCCCATTTTCTCCCATATTCCATGCCATTCATGACTGTCCACCCTCAGGGAGGATCTCTGAATGACCTTCCTAGAAATCTTTCTTAACTAAACATGGTGTGGACCACACTGAGGAGACCTGGCAGACATAGCAACAAGAACATGCTTTCCTTAACATCCAAAGGGAATTGAAAATTCTTGGAAGCTGTTGTAACAGGCCTGAAGAAGGAAGAAGGGGTGAAAAGCTGGGGAAAATCATCCTTCCCATTCCCCCCTCAAACTGGGTACGATTATTAACGAACTCCCAGAGGTAGCACCTGAGATAAAGGCAAAGGAACAACATTGAATACACATCCCAAATGACCCTTATTGCCTTTGATGTTATCATATCATAAGCTGATATCACACAGTACAGCAACAAAGCAATCCTGATCCCCTTTCCTGCTCAGAAAAAAAACATCGTGAGCAGCACATATGGGAATATATACAGGGTTAGGTACCACAAGCACATAAACGGACCAAGCAACATTGTAATCAGTGGCTCTATGCCTAATACAACAAATCCTTAGATCAAGTTTGTTTCCAACTCACTCTGGGCAAATCAGTTGTTATCACAACCATTCGTGCCCAACATTGGGTGCCAAAAAAGTCTGTCATGGTTTAGGAATGGTACTCCCCAATTTAGTGCTCCCACTGCGACTCTAAACCATGTGCTGCTCACTCCCTCTCTCCCCCTCCCTTCCAGCCCTTGCTCTGTGGCGGGATGGAGAGGAGAACTGGAGGCCCAAAAGGTAAAGATCAAGGGCTGAGATAAGAACAATTTACTGGAAACAGCAATGAGATAAGAAAATGAACAGTAAAAACAACAATACTAATGACAGAGGGTGCAAGAAATGAAGGATTCACACGGAAATCCCTGGACAATAAACAACATCCGACCACTTCCTCCACCATGCTGCTCGACCGAAAGGGACCCTGTTTTCCCTGGAAGAGAATCCCTTCTCCCCACCCCCAGCAATGATGTGAGGTGGTGTAGAATAACTTCTGGGTCCTAACCATGCCCCCTTCTAAGTACTACAAAAATTAACCCTATTCTGACTGAGATCAGGACATTTGAAAACTATGTTTTGCTCAGTAGTGAAAGTAGACCTGGTGTCAGAGCGATGCAGAATGTTTTTGCCATCACAGTTAATATTATAGAATGTAAGATGAACCATACTGGGTCAGTGCATGAGTCCTTCATCACTGATAACCTGCACCCAGCAATTTCTACATTTCATAGGACAGTGGCAGCCTCTGTAGTACATCCAGTCATTTCTGCGGTGTGGAAGATGGGAAAAGGAAGCCTCTTCCCTATCACATTACATGAAAATTTATATGTGTATATGGGTAATGGCTCATTTTACTGTGTTGCACCATCAGAGGATAGGACCAGATATGTAGAAATATATTTTTCCTGTCATAGGTTTTTTGTTTGAGTTTTTGTTTTGTTTGGGGTTTTTTCCCTTTTCAGAATTGTGTATTTGTTTAATTTGGAAGGTTGGTTTCATATGCTCTAGCATATGTAATTTGATCATATAACCAAATTCTGGAAATGGGAGATTTCTGTTGGAATTTTTGCATGCCTGATAATGGATTTTTTTGTAATTTACAAAGTATGCGTTAATGGGAAGTGACTTAAAAGAGGCTGCTAGGATTCAAGGAATAGTGTCAGATGTTCTGTTGGTATAAGCAGCATAGATATATTACATTTGCTTACATCAGGTATCCAACACGCTTGCAACAAACGTGGGTAGAGCCCTCCCCAAATCTTCGTTCGCAAAGCCTAGCCATGATGATGACATCAGATATCATCAGTTGTGGATTTAACTTAAGACTGTTTCTGTCTAAAATATACATTCAGCTTTTTTTTGGTCTTCATTTTTGAAATGTCATTTTTGCTTCATTAGTTTGAATGTCTCTTAATGAAACAAATGGTAAAAGCCTCAGCCTCACTGTAGTAGAGTTAAGCTGCTAATAGGAATTCAGTCTTCCTGAGTTCAATTTGTTACCTGCCTGCAGTAGAAACAGATGAATTCTGATGAAAAGAAATTCAATCCGTGGAGTTCTCACTGCTCACTTTCACATCTTGTCAGATTGCTTGTGTCTACTAGTAATGCTTTATTTTCATAGAACCGATGCACAATTTATGTTACTGTTTTGGTTCCAACTTGCCTACAGTATGTGGTTATTGTAAAATGATTAGTTGTGTTTGTCCTGGTTTTTTTCATGCTTTGATTCTAGATGCTTATGTAGAAATTGTTTTTAAAGGGTCTTACCTTGAGCCAAAAAGTATAATCTGTTTCATCCATGAACTAGACTACTACTTTTTACTTGGCCCTAATACAAACCAAGGAATTTGGTAAAGAATCTCAATTATAAACATATATCCACTGTGTATGTAACTGATGGTTTTACATCATCTTAGCATGCTTTTTAACACCTTGCTTGAATAAGCCTGGTTATTGATGTGAAACTGCTGCTGATGGGTGGCTGAGCCGAGGTGGAGCAGTGAATAGAATCTCTGTGGGAAGTGGCTCAGTGGCCTGTCAGGTGCACAACACAGGTCTCTTCACCATTTCAACCTAGAAAGCTCTTTGTCTTTAAGAGTTTAAAAGCCAATTTCTTTGCAAGCTAAATTTCTCAGGCTTATTTACTAAGTAGATAACTACTGCATTTGCAAACAGCTAGCTTGTTTCATGTTTCCTGAATGACCCAAAATGATTTTTAAATTGTTAGCATGTATTTGTATTCTGGTCCAGATGATAACCGTAGTTTTGTCTTTCACTGAAGAACGTATACATTCTGTTCTGTTACAATGTATTTTTTGAATTTTTTAAAAAAATCAATAAATACTCATATGATGTTTCATTTGTAAATGTAAACAATGTTATTTGCTTATTTGAATGGTTTTCTTGCATTACTTTAGCTGCAGGAGACACATCTCTAAAATGTGGTTACTTAATTCTTTTTAACTGTTTGTGTATTATCTCAGCCATGTTCTGTTGTAAGCCCTGAATATTAAGAGTTATTGGGACCAATATATAGTTAAGTACTAAAAAATTGCATTTTTATTCTTTATGGTTTATTATTCTAAAGATATTTGTAATTGATAAGCAGCAGCTCAGTGGCGCTGAAAAACAGGTGTTTAGCTTGGATACTTTCAAAGCTCAAGCTTCAAA